GGAGGAGTGCGCGGAGCTACGAGCAACGGAGAGCCTCACACCCGCCCAGCAAGGAAAGGGTTACCAGGATGGATTAACTCCTCCATCCCCCAATACTGGGACTAGGAGGCATCTAATGTACTCTTCAGGAACAACCTGAGCCTGCGAGGTCCTCACACACAAAGGATCATGGGATTTCATACTTCTATACAGTGAAGGAAATGCGTATTTGCCCCCCTGCTGATGTTGAATGTTCGCCCCTCACACAGAAATGATCGGTCTAACAATGGAATGTTCGCCCCTCACACAGAAATGATCGGTCTAACAATGGAATGTTCGCCCCTCACACAGAAATGATCGGTCTAACAATGGAATGTTCGCCCCTCACACAGAAATGATCGGTCTAACAATGGAATGTTCGCCCCTCACACAGAAATGATCGGTCTAACAATGGAATGTTCGGTGTAACACTAAGAGACAGAATACAACAACAAATTCAGCAGAAATGCGTCTAACAAATGATGACGGATCTGCATGTTCATGAGGGAAAGAAGGATTTGATCCCCTATCATACAGCAGGATTTCTGGCTCCCAGGTGTCTCTCATACAGGTAACTAGCTGAGATTAGAAGCAGTCTCTTAAAGGGAGTGCTGCTAATCTCATTGTGTTCCCTGTATAAAAGACACCTGTCCACAGGAGCAATCAAACCATCAGATTCCAAACTCTCCACCATGGCAAAGACCAAAGAGCTGTCCAAGGATGTCAGGGACAAGATGGTAGACCTACACAAGGCTGGACTGGGCTACCAAACTATGGCCAAGCAGCTTGGTGAGAAGGTGACAACAGTTGGTGCAATCATTCACAAATGGAAGAAACACAAAACAAGTGTCAGTCTCCCTAGGTCTGGTGCACCATGCAAGATCTCACCTCGTGGAGTGTCAATGATCATGAGAACAGTGAGGAATCATCCCAGAACTACACGTGAGGATCTTGTCAATGATCTCCAGGCAGCTGGGACCACAGTCACCAAGAGAACAATTGGTAACACACTACGCCGACAAGGACTGAAATCCTGCAGTGCCCGCAATGTCCCAAGGTGTGAGGGGCGAACATTCCATTGTTAGACCGATCATTTCTGTGTGAGGGGCGAACATTCAGCATCGGGGGGGGCAAATACACATTTCCTTCACTGTATATGTAAAATTTATTTCTTGGCGTTTGAGGGACACAGAAATGTAGAGACTGTTGGGTTATATTGCCGCCAACAGGAAATGCCTGATAAAACCCTACTACCAGCATTCCTCCCAGCATGCCTCCATCAAGCACATGACCATAAGCAAAGGGTGGGACCTCTGTCCTGTAGACTCCAAGGAAAGAATGTTACGGTATGTACAACAATTCTATTGTCTTCCTCGTTCATTGGGGGACACTGAAATTCAGAGACTTGGGATGTCCAAAAACATTCCAAAATGAGGGATGGGAGACGGCAGCCAAACATTACCAGGCCCAAAAACATAACATATCTGCTTGCAGCTCAACAAGCTTCTTGAAGGACCTTACGGCCAAAGATGGCATCTGAAGAGGCCTGAGCATCCACCTGGTAAAACTTGGAGAACACCTCAACAGAAGACCAGGAGGAAAACGGAAATATAACGAACAGGTTCAAAAGAGCGATGTTTGAAGAGCAGAGAGAACCACGCTCAAATTCCAGAGAGGTCAAGGGGGAGCTCACAGGGGAAGCCACATGGGAGTCATCCACTATGAAGGTTTTTATCAAGAATGGGAGGGCCAGCAGTCTCTGGAGCAAGACTGCCAGAGCAGGGACCTGATCTAAAATGGTAATAAGGACTAAATGTTGATCCAGGTCCATCTGCAAAAAGGCCAACATTCATCCCACAGACCTTCTAGCTTTTACCACACTGGGTGTCACTGATTTGAAGATGCCCATGTCTTTCAGAACTTAGGCTTCAATAGACATATGTTGAATTCAGCAACCGTCAAACAGGGTGGCAAACCGGCCCTTGAGACAGAAGATCTGGAAAACCTGGAAGAGCCCATTAGTGTCTGATTAGGTCGGAGTACCACATCCACCTGGCCCAGTCTAGAGCTATGAGAGTTGTCAGAATACCCTCCACCTCAATCCTGTGGAGCAGATGAAATGGAATTTCGTGTGAACAAACATAAAGATCAGGATGTACAAGATGCCACCAGAGCATCCACTGTTTCTGCTAAAAGATCCATGAATCCGAGGACAAATATGTCCAGTTTGTTTGTAAACCTGGAGATCAGAAGGTCCTCATCTGGTGTCTCACCTGTGACACAGGGCCTAGAACACCTTGGGGTGTAGAGACCACTCCCCTGATCCTGATGTTGCCTGCTAAGGAAATCCACCTGCCAACTGTCCAAGATTGAGGAGAATACAGTGGACAAGGCTGGAATAGGAAGACCTGCCAAGTGACAGCAGCCTTTAAACCTCTCCTGCCATGGCAATACGTTTGGTTTATCCCTGGTGGTTGATGTAGGACACTGCTGTTTTGTTGTCCCAACAGATTTCTGATCAGATGACCGTCCACAGTTGAAGTGCCTAGCAGTGCAGGGACCGCCAGATCTCCGAAACCTCGAGAATGTTGATCGGGAGACAAGATCTCTCTAATGTCACAGTCCCCTGCTCCATCAGGGTGTTCAGGACTCCTCTTCAGCCCAACAGGCTGGCATCAATCATGAGGATCGTTCATTGGATCAGAAGTAAGGACTTCCTAAACTTAAGAGGAGGAATCTTGAGCACCAAGCTAGGAACTTTGGAGACAGATTTATCAGTTCAAAGACTGAAGCAACTTGTCCAACAATGAAAGGATTTTGTTCTGTATAAATCTTGAGTCGAACTGGCCAAATAGGACTGCCTAAAAAGAGGATACTGAGGCTCAAGAACCCACATGCAGAAGCCAAGAGTCAGGTGAATCCTAAATCCCAAAGTCCAAGTCTGGGAGAAGGGAGCTCAAAGTTCCTCCTAGGGATCCCACCAGAACCTTTGCAAGATCTGGATAGTCTGTACTACATTGTCCCCAAGCAGCTGATCCCACAGTTTCCTCAGCAGGAAGTCATGTAATTATCCCACAATAGGGATGCATTGGGAGAGCAACATGGCTAACACAGGGGCCACCACCTTGGTGAACACTCAAAACACAAAAGAGAAACTGGCAGTGGAGAGGACTCACAGCAAAGGTAAGTATACTTCCCCCTGATGAAGGCAGGCTATGAAAGATGTAGTAGATTGCATGCCGAATTTCCGAGTCCGACTGAAGACATCAATTAGGACCTTGAGAACCAATATCAGCCAAAAGCTACTTTTAGGTCTAGGAACCATGAACAGGTTGGAGTACAACACCTGGAACCATTCCACCACAGGGACTGGGGCAATGAGGTCCTGGCCAGAAGACCTGCTAGATCCTCATGGAGGTATGACACAGGGAGGTTGGAAATAATGAACTGGATGGATGGTGGGGAGGTTGACTGGTAGCAAAATTCTAGCCAGTAGCTCCTGGAAGCAACCTCATGCACCCACATATTTGAGATGCTGGTTGTCCAAATATCCACAAGGGCCAACGGATGTTCCCACACTTTGGGATGTGGGGACACCCCCATATGCAGAAGAACATTTATCTGAAGGTTTGGGGTACTTGGAAGTCCAGGGTTTGTGGGCAGACTGGGAGGTGGGCTTGGTTGTGGCTTTGGAAGTCAAAGCCTATGAAAAAGACTCTGCTTGGCCTACGACGACAAGTGAGTTTCCCCAAACTGAGCCTTTTTTGCTGGAGAATATGAGTACTGTTACCCCCAGTGACATCCCTCAAAAGGGAATTCAGGGCAGCGCTGAGGAAACATCCTTGAAGCACTTCTTGCATGTAGCCCAATATTTCATTCGAAAAGGGTCCCCCTCATGTTCATGAATAGAAGGCTCATTTGGAAGAGGAGATGGGAGACTTCTAACAACCTGTCCACACTGTAGTTCAGATCTAGGGGTATGATCTCCAGACACTCTATGATCAAGGGATCAACTGGAATAGGGACCAGATCCCTTCAGATGGCTGTAGCCCAATCTGTTATGGACTGACAGACTATGTAATGGCCAAGGCAGATTGCAATGCAGGTCCTGTCAGAGAACAGGCCTCCAGAGAAGGGCCTCCAGCCGTTTATTGGTGGGGTTCTTAAAGAGAGATACGTAGGGCTAGAATGAGAGAGAAAAGCTGAGTGCACCAAGGGGGAAGTTCACTTTTTAATAGGTCCTCCTCAAACGGGTAAAGATTGTCAGCTGGTTGGAACAACTTGTCAGGGTTTCTCCAGTCTCCATAAATGAGGATGCAAATGGTGGCTGCTCCGAAAAAGTCTTGGCGGTCTTGGGAACCCGGAAGCAGCCTAGATTGGGGACAGCGCTGGTAGAGGATATGGTCTGAGCCTCAAAAATTACACTGTTGCATACCAAGCCAATAACGGCCGAAACAGTTTATTTGGGAGCGACTAGAAGGCTGCGACTCCTCGGGGGAGATCTGTTCACCAAAGGCCAAGTTCACCTTTTACATAAACGTGGTCCTGGCTTAATCCCAAGACGTGTGCTACAATGAAATGGCCCCGGAGCCACCTTCTCTGAGCACAGCTACAGTGATGTGTCCTAAAAGGAGGCTTGGTGGCCATTTTGTCGTAGCCCATGTCTTGGAGATAGGCCAGGATGCAGGAAAGTGAGAATTTTGCAGAGTCTTCATAGACAACAGAAAGGCCTACAGGTACGGAATTTGAATGAAACAATATTTTTGCACATTTTTGCATTCACTATATCCACTCTCCCCGGACCCCGCATTCACTATATCCACTTTCCCCGGACCCCGCATTCACTATATCCACTCTCCCCGGACCCCGCATTCACTATATCCACTTTCCCCGGACCCCGCATTCACTATATCCACTTTCCCCGGACCCCGCATTCACTATATCCACTTTCCACGGACCCCGCATTCACTATATCCGCTCTCCCCGGACCCCGCATTCACTATATCCGCTCTCCCCGGATCCCGCATTCACTATATCCGCTCTCCCCGGACCCCGCATTCACTATATCCCCTCTCCCCGGACCCCGCATTCACTATATCCGCTCTCCCCGGACCCCGCATTCACTATATCCGCTCTCCCCGGACCCCGCATTCACTATATCCGCTCTCCCCGGACCCCGCATTCACTATATCCGCTCTCTCCGGACCCCGCATTCACTGTATCCGGTCTCCTCGGACCCCGCATTCACTATATCCGCTCTCCCCGGATCCCGCATTCACTATATCCGCTCTCCCCGGATCCCGCATTCACTATATCCGCTCTCCCCGGACCCCGCATTCACTATATCCGCTCTCCCCGGACCCCACATTCACTATATCCGCTCTCCCCGGACCCCGCATTCACTATAGCCGCTCTCCCCGGACCCCGCATTCACTATATCCGCTCTCCCCGGACCCCGCATTCACTAGATCAGCTCTCCCCGGACCCCGCATTCACTATATCTGGTCTCCCCGGACCCCGCATTCACTATATCCGCTCTCCCCGGACCCCGCATTCACTATATCCGCTCTCCCCGGACCCTGCATTCATTATATCCGCTTTCCCCGGACCCCGCATTCACTATATCCGCTCTCCCCAGACCCTGCATTCATTATATCCGCTTTCCCCGGACCCCGCATTCACTATATCCGCTCTCCCCGGACCCCGCATTCACTATATCTGCTCTCCCCGGACCCCGCATTCACTATATCCGCTCTCCCCCCGGACCCCGCATCCATTATATCCGCTCTTCCTAGACCCTGCATTCACTAGACTGAGGAAATGCTTCCTCCTCCTTCTACAAAGTTACAATGTACAGTCTGATCACTGGGGTAGGGGAGACTGAGGAAATTCTTCCTTCTTTTACTGGTGACTTTAGCAGTGGAATAAATGAAGAAACCTTTATAGGACCCCCCCCCCCCCCCCCCCCCCCCGTCATGTTTCCCAATGACAGGGTTGTCAATGCCCCGCCCACCTGCTCCGGCGTCCTGCTGTACAGCCTCTCCAGCTGCTCCTTCCTCCGCCGTTCGTGCGTGGCATCGAACACGGGGCTCTTCAGCTCTGTCCCAGGAGTGGCTCGAATGTTTCCCAGCTTGGCACAGATGCTGTAATATCGATCTTTCAGATCTTCTGTTGACCTTTTCTGTAAGAAACAGAAGAGAAAAAAAAATATCATATTATACTGCTAGGGTGACGGTATGTTAAAAAAAAAAAAAAAAATAAAAACGTAAAAAAAATTTTTACTAAAAAGATAGATGAATACATTTTTACATTTTGGCCAAGATTTATGAAGAAAGATTATTTATTTGCAAAACTTGATAAAGAAAAACACTTTTTTTTCCAAACTTTTTGGACTTTTTCATTTATAGCAACAAAATAAAACTCCCAGCGGTGAAAAAAATACCACCAAAATAAAGCTTTATCTGTCTCAAAAAAAAAACCCCAAAAAAATTCATATGGGTAAAGTGTTGCATGACCGCGCAATTGTCATTCAAATTGTGATAGCGCTGAAAGCTGAAAATTGGCCTGGGGGGAAGGGAAGCGTCCGGACTGGAAGGGGGGGGAAAGCGTCCGGACTGGAAGGAGGGGGAAAGCGTCCGGACTGGAAGGGGGGGGAAAGCATCCGGACTGGAAGGGGGGGGAAAGCGTCCGGACTGGAAGGGGGGGGAAAGCGTCCGGACTGGAAGGGGGGGAAAAGCGTCCGGAGGGGGGGGAAAGTGTCCGGACTGGAAGGGGGGAAAGTGTCCGGACTGGAAGGGGGGAAAGTGTCCGGACTGGAAGGGGGGAAAGTGTCCGGACTGGAAGGGGGTGAAAGTGTCCGGACTGGAAGGGGGGGAGGTGTCCGGACTGGAAGGGGGGGAAAGTGTCCGGACTGGAAGGGGGGGGGGAAAGTGTCCGGACTGGAAGGGGGGGAAAGTGTCCGGACTGGAAGGGGGTGAAAGTGTCCGGACTGGAAGGGGGGGAAAGTGTCCGGACTGGAAGGGGGGGAGGTGTCCGGACTGGAAGGGGGGGAGGTGTCCGGACTGGAAGGGGGGGAGGTGTCCGGACTGGAAGGGGGGGAGGTGTCCGGACTGGAAAGGGGGGGAGGTGTCCGGACTGGAAGGGGGGAAAGTGTCCGGACTGGAAGTGGTTAAAACTTTTAAAAAAAAAGTGTATTTTTACCCAAAAAAAAACTGTGCTTCAGAAACGCAGAGCCACTGTCTCAGCCAATGAGGAGGAAGAGACCCGGGACAGCCGAGGTTCTTGTGCACATCGCTGGATCGAGATGGGGCTCAGGTAAGTATTGAGGGGGGGGCACCTTCAGCCTTTTCTACTACCAGCCTGCCCCTCGTCTGTCCCACCCGGACTACTACCTTGTACTGCTGATGATCGTATCGGTCATGGATGACGATGAAGCGCAGATCGAACCGGCGGCAGAGGTCAAACAGATGATCGGTCTCGGCCTTTGTCCAGCCGTCGTCATGAAGGTACATTTGATATTCCTGTTCTGAGTACACGGGAACCTGAACTGTCTGCAAAACAAATGTAACAATCATTAGGAAACGAAGTGCAAGCTCTTCAGGGGAGAAAGCCGACCGGTGATCTCTCACTAGAAGGACCTGCACCGTCGGGATTTTGTCTGGATCAGGCGGGATTCTGCATTCCCAAGTCTGTAGGAATACAAAACCTGCTAGAAGGAGGTCAGACAGAAGCAACATGAACCAATCAGTGAATTCTGAATGATCTCAGATGAATGATGTCATCAATACGGACACTCAGTACTATTTGCTTCACATGAACCATCCATGGTAAACAAAAAAAAAAACATTTTAGGCTCTAAGATTAAACAAAACCCCAAAAACATATTTTTTTAAAGCAGAGACTCTAGAGCAGTGGTCTCCAAACTGCGGCCCGAGGGCAAAATTCCCTCAACTGACACCAGCAATGGGACCCTATTCCATCCACTAATATCAATGATGGCGTACAAAATGTACATAATAAAGTGAAGGAAATGTGTATTTGCTCCCCGGCTGATGCTGAATGTTCGCCCCCTCACACAGAAATGATCGGTCTAACAATGGAATGTTCGCCCCTCACACAGAAATGATCGGTCTAACAATGGAATGTTCGCCCCTCACACAGAAATGATCGGTCTAACAATGGAATGTTCGCCCCCCTCACACAGAAATGATCGGTCTAAACAATGGAATGTTCGCCCCTCACACAGAAATGATCGGTCTAACAATGGAATGTTCGCCCCTCACACAGAAATGATCGGTCTAACAATGGAATGTTCGCCCCTCACACAAAAATGATCGGTCTAACAATGGAATGTTCGCCCCTCACACAGAAATGATCGGTCTAACAATGGAATGTTCGCCCCTCACACAGAAATGATCGGTCTAACAATGGAATGTTCGGTGTAACACTGAGAGACAGAATACAACAACAAATTCAGCAGAAATGCGTCTAACAAATGATGACGGATCTGCATGTTCATGAGGGAAAGAAGGATTTGATCCCCTATCATTCAGCAGGATTTCTGGCTCCCAGGTGTCTCTCATACAGGTAACAAGCTGAGATTAGAAGCAGTCTCTTAAAGGGAGTGCTGCTAATCTCATTGTGTTACCTGTATAAAAGACACCTGTCCACAGGAGCCATCAAACCATCAGATTCCAAACTCTCCACCATGGCAAAGACCAAAGAGCTGTCCAAGGATGTCAGGGACAAGATGGTAGACCTACACAAGGCTGGACTGGGCTACCAAACTATGGCCAAGCAGCTTGGTGAGAAGGTGACAACAGTTGGTGCAATCATTCACAAATGGAAGAAACACAAAACAAGTGTCAGTCTCCCTAGGTCTGGTGCACCATGCAAGATCTCACCTCGTGGAGTGTCAATGATCATGAGAACAGTGAGGAATCATCCCAGAACTACACGTGAGGATCTTGTCAATGATCTCCAGGCAGCTGGGACCACAGTCACCAAGAAAACAATTGGTAACACACTACACCGACAAGGACTGAAATCCTGCAGTGCCCGCACGGTCCCCTCTGCTCAAGAAAGCACATGTCCAGGCACGTCTGAAGTCTGCCACTGAACATCTGAATGATGCAGAGGAGGACTGGTGGGAAGTGTTGTGGTCAGAGACCAAAATCCAGCTCTTTGGCATCAACTCAACTCGCCGTGTTTGGAGGAGGAGGAATGCTGCCTATGACCCCAAGAACACCATCCCAACTGTGAAACGTGGTGGAAACATTCTGCTTTGGGGGTGTTTTTCTGCTAAGAGGACAGGACAACTGCACCGCATCAAAGGGACGATGGACGGGGCAATGTACCCTCAAATCTTGGGTGAGAACCTTCTTCACTCAGCCAGGGCATTGAAAATGGGTGGTGGATGGGTGTTCCAGCATGACAATGACCCAAAACACACGGCCAAGGCAACAAAGGAGCGGCTCAAGAAGAAGCACATTAAGGTCCTGGAGTGGCCTAGCCAGTCTCCACACCTTCATCCGATTGAAAATCTGTAGAGGGAGCTGAAAGTTCGAGTTGCCAAACGTCAGCCACCAAACCTTAATGACTTGGAGAGGATCTGCCAAGAGGAGTGGGCCAAAATCCCTCCTGAGATGTGAGCGAACCTGGGGGCCAACTCCAGGAAACGTCTGACCTCTGTGATGGCCAACAAGGGATTGGCCACCAAGTACTAAGTCATGTTTTGTGAAGGGGATCAAATCCTTCTTTCCCTCATGAACATGCAGATCAGTCATCATTTGTTAGACGCATTTCTGCTGAATTTGTTGTTGTATTCTGTCTCTCAGTGTTACACCGAACATTCCATTGCTAGACCGATCATTTCTGTGTGAGGGGCGAACATTTCATTGTTAGACCGATCATTTCTGTGTGAGGGGCGAACATTCCATTGTTAGACCGATCATTTCTGTGTGAGGGGCGAACATTCCATTGTTAGACCGATCATATCTGTGTGAGGGGCGAACATTCACCATCAGCCGGGGAGAGAATACGCATTTCCTTCACTGTATTATGTACATTTGGTCCCTAACTCACATTCATACATACACATACTAGGAACAATTTAGACAGGAGCCAATTAACCTACCAGCATGTCTTTGGAGTGTGGGAGGAAACCAGAGCACCTGGAGGAAACCCACACAGGCACAGGGAGAACATGTAGACTCCATGCAGGTGGTGCCATGGCTGGGATTCAAACCAATGACCCGAGTACTGCCAGGCGGAAGTGATAACCATTTAGCCACCCCAGTGCTGCCCCAGGACCCTCCTATCCCTCTTGTAGTGAACTGTATTGTTGCTGTATTGTCTCCCGTTATATTGTACAGCGCTGAGCAAACTGTTGGCGCCATAAATCCTGTATAATAATAATATATATATATAAATCCTGTATAATAATAATATATATATATAAATCCTGTATAATAATAATATAAATCCTGTATAATAAATAATAATAATATATAAATCCTGTATAATAATATAATAATAATATATAAATCCTGTATAATAATAATAATAAAAATATATAAATC